TTAGCTTGGTTGTGGGCACTTCTACAGCAAGGACCATATCATGTTCATCTTTGCATCCCTGGCACAGTGCATGAGACATAAGTACTTAATAAATGCAGTTGAATGGATAATGATTAGTGTTATTTATGGATTAGAAAAAGCATGTTTCTATTTAAGTAAGCTATAAAAAGTATTATTGAATATTTACTGTAAATATATGTTCACATAAAAAAATAACTTGGAAGGTCTTTGTGTCCCTGGCATATTATCATCTTTATGGAGAGAATCCACTATGGTTTCTGTAGAGTGATTAGAAAAATGGATTATTTTGAGAATTGGAGAAAGTGTTCTTTCTGTGTTGTCACTTTGTTCAACAGTAAAACTTTATTCTCAGTGTTCCTACTCTGCATTGTTTACATTTTTGAGAGTTTTTTTTTTTTTAAATCACCTACAATCTGTAAAGAATGTATATATTCTTTTCAGCATCTCAGTTTGAAAAGACATGCCGTTAAACTTGACTTTTTGATAATCGTTCTTACAGGTCATTGTCTGTTCTAACAGCAAATTGTAAACATGTGCTTCATAGATATTGTGGCTCTCAGTCATCACTTTGTCCTATGGTATTTATTGAATGTTCACATACTAATGGTGCACAGGTGTTTTTTTCTATAAATCTTCTGACTGTCCTGTAATTCATTCTTAAGCTTTAACTTGAAGATATCGTAATCGCCGGCATTTGATGTTTAGCAATAAAAGGATAAATGTGTACCAGCATTTTATGTTTATCATCGTCTATGTGTTGTCTTCTTTGAACTCTTTTCTGTCAAAATTGTTCCTATTACATAAAGCAAGATCTTAATCATTTTTAAATTCTTGATTCTAGAACCAGCCTTCAGTTTTCATTCATGTAATCTATACCTGAAAGTCATTGCGGGCCTTGAAAATAAGTCTTTTAAATGAGGCTCCTGTGCACTCACTACTGTCTTGGAAATGGCTGGTTTATGGTTGAAGAAAGAGGACTATCATGTTTCCTTTCATTAGTGTCTGACAGAAAAGTCTGCTGTAAGTTAGGAATTCTTGAAAGAGAATGTTTTAACTATGGCATTTGGTTCTTTTTGACCTTTTGCCCTAGTGCTTCCTCCCATACTCTCTCTCTCTCTCTCTCTCTCTCTCTCTCTCTCTCTCTCCCCCCCCCCTCCCTCTCCCTCTCCCTCTCTCCCTCTCTCTGGTACTAAGGGCCAGATAAAATAGGCTAGGAATGTAGCCCAGTTTTTGATTGGTTAGCCTCATTCCACTAATTCTTGCCTCTGATCCCATTACACTACAGTTAAGAGCCACAAGACTAGGTGACTGATTAAGCCACTTTTTTAACAGCTTTATTGAGATATAATTAAATACTCTCAAATTCTCTCTTTATGTGTTAACTTTAAAGTATTCAATTCCATGTAAACTATTTTTCTCTTAATGTCCAATCAAACAGTATGCATATGCTTTCGTATAATCTAACCTTTTAAGTAAATGTACATGTGACAAAAGACTGGCAGGGAAAAATGTGTTTTAGTTATTTCACAACTATGTTAACTCTGGAATGGTTTTCAGCAACATAATAGAGTTGAATAAGTTATTTTTAAGCATGTAAATATACTTTCTTTGAGACAATAAGCCTTTTTAATCAGTGCATTTGCAAGCTACAGTGCATTTGAAAGCTACTCCTTGCTACAGCAAGAGTACTACTAATTTGAATAATCCATTGCATATTTTATCAGACCATGACATATGAATTCAATGAAAGGAAACCCCTCTGTTTCAGAACTCAGTGCTACAATAAGTTATACTCGGGGTGGAGGTAGGAAAAAAATGGCTAATTACAAAGCAGGTTATATTGTGTAATTCAATTTTCCATTAAAGGAAGGAAAAAACACCCATATATGTTAGTTTTATTTAGCTAAAGATTGATGGATAGTCAATAATGGTCCCTTCTTATTTACTGAATGCTTCTCAAACTTTTCTACTGACATGCTCCTAACACTATAGAGGAGGGAAAACCTAGAAGGATCTAAGAGTAGAACCTTGTAATTGACTCTCCACAGTATAAAATTGAACTCTCACTTTATCTTAAATTTAGCATCCTATTAATCTAATCAAGCATTCTAAAGCCAATTCTCTTAAAGATATGGAACTCTAAACTGTAAAAGAATTAGACTTTAAGAATATTAAGAATTTCTTCATTTCTAAAACACATTCTGATTTGTAGACTAGTGACAGTCTATGGTGGTATTTTTGTCCATCCCAAGTGAAATGAGAAAAATAAAGATCGTGTATATTGTCTATAATTACAAAGTAAACATAATGTATGTGTAATGTTATAAGTCTTCCTGCTGCCCTTTATCAAAGAGCCCCCCTTTATATGGAGTATGGAAACATATACTTGGTTTCCCTTAGCACTGCTAGATTGCCCTCCAAAAAGGTCTTTTTGTAACTGACCCTCTTATTGGCAAGGCATGAGGGTTCCATGTTTGCCCACACCCTTGCCTCCACCTGAATTATCTGACTTCCATGTTCTGACAAATCTGTTGGGTTTAAAATGACATTTCAAGAAAAAGATAACATTTCATTTTAATTTGCATTTCTTAGATTATTAATAGAGGTGCACATTCATATACTTGTTTAGCCCTTTGGGTTTTTCATTCTGCCACTTGCTTATTGATATCCTTTGCCCAGTTTTCTATTGGGTGTCCTAAATTTTTCTGTTTGATCCATAGAAATTTCTTGTATATTCTTGATTGGAGGTCAACAAATTATGGCCTGCAGGCCAAATCTTGCTCACTACCAATTTTTGTAAATAAACGTTTATTGTGTTTTATTGGAACACATTCATTCATGTATTTGATGGCTGCTTTTGTGCTATAATGGCTGAGTTGAGCAGGTGCAACAGAGATCGTATAACCAAAAGCCTAAAATATTTGCTATGTTTTACAAATATTCAGAACAACCCACGTTCCAGATATCAGTCTGCTTGCGGAGCAACCCGAGTCCTAGATATCAATCTCTTGTCCATTGTAGATGCTACAAATAATTTTTCCCAGTTTCCCATAAACTTTATTTATGAGGTTGTTTGTTGAACAATGATCTTTAGTTTAATATAGTAAGATCCATTAATCTCTTGAGTTATTGTTTGTGTTTTGTAGGTCTTATTGAAAAAGTCCTGTCCCAGGGTCACAACAGTATTCTCTTACATTTTCTTCTACTTGCTTTAAAGTTGTACTTTCATGATGAGATCTTTAATTTCTGGAATATATGATATGAGGGAGGGAATCAAGGTTTATTTTTCTATATAGACTTAACTATCCTTAAAATAAACATCATAGTATTTTCCTTTTTAAGACTATTATATAAAACAGCTTACATAAAGTAGTTAATATGGTGCCTGGGATGCTCAATTCATTACTGGTGTTATGAACTTAACGACTTCTTTTCAGAATGCAGGAAGGATTAGGACTTAATTTGCCCTGAGATCTCAGTCTGTACTGGTGTTAGATATTGCCTCCTTTTGGTATGCCTTCTAGGCTTCCAGTGCCTTCAAGCTGGTTCTGATTGTCCAGAGTATCTTCCAGGCCTTGGATCTTTTAAGCATTTCTTCCCCCAATCAAAATGGACCAACAATCGCAGTATTTAAGCAAATGGCTAGGGATTTTGCTTCCTGTAACTAGTCAAAATAACCTGTGTTCACGAGTGTGTTTGCTGATAGTAACATAGGCTAGCATTTACATCTGGTCTTATGAAAACAGCATGTTAACTCAGAAGGAAGCACTATGAGAAACCAATATAGGAGAGAATTCACGATAGGATGGCCTTTGAAACCACCAAATCAGACAATAAAAAGCTTTCTACTCTGTGCATAGTCTAGGATCTTATATTTCAAAATAATCTTTTTTTACATGTTCATTTTAATTTGCATTTTGTTGTTATTGTTAGAAAAGAGGCTAAAGTTTTTAATTTTTTTCGAGACAGATCTTGCTCTGTCAACCAGGCTGGAGTGCAGTGGCACGATCACAGCTAAATGCAGCCTTGACCTCCTGAGCTCAAGCAATCCTCCCACCTCAGCCTCCTGAGTAGCTGGGACCACATGCATGTGCCACTATGCCCAGCTAATTTATATATATATATATATAATTTTTTATTTTTTGGAGACCTCGCTATGTTGCTCAGACTGGTCTCAAACTTCTGAGCTCAAGTGATCCTCCTGCTTTGGCCTCCCAAAGTGCTGGGATTATAGGCATGCCCAGCTTAAACTTCTTTGTTACAATGTGTGTGCTTTGGTAGACTCCTTATCCGTATCCTTTGCCCATTATTTCCCTTCAGTGGTTGTCACCTTCTAATTCCTTTTCATTGTTCAGGAATCACATTTTTACGAAGGACTTACAAACATATTTGACCATATCTTACAGTTCCTTGGCTTTCATACTTTATTCCTAGCAGTCTTTTCTTACCTTTGAACTTCTTTGATTCCATCTTTTAATGGCTTCTACTTTTTTTCTAGCCTTTATGTATTACCAGAAATCTATAATGAGAGGTAGCACTTTGTGATTTACAACACATTCCCGTCTCCAGTTTAGGGTACCCCTTTTCTGTCAAGGAAATGCCTAGGAAAAAGAAGTTAGAACAGAAGGAGGTACAAATGTAATTTTTTGGCCTCTATAGAAAAATAATTTCTTTCTTATCGGAAAAGAAATACACTTTAATCACAGAGAACAGGTTAATGAAAATAAATTGTGAATTATTGAAAACAAACAGGGTTGTATTATGCATAAACTGGTAAGCCAGTGTTTAAACTTGACAATGTATTACAAACACTTTTATGTTATTAATATTCTAATGTTATTTCAGTGGCCATATAATATTGCAGTGTTAAATATGCCATCATTTAATCAACCCCTATTATTTTTAATTTTGCAATATTATAAATAAAACTGTTAGGAATATCCTTACAACTACATTTTTTTGCATTCTATGACTCTTTAGACAGTTCTAGAAACTCTCAGGAAAATCCTAAAGATGACTTTCTTGAAGCATGAACAGTTATATATATAGTATACATTTAATTTTTTTTCTGTTAATTGAGTATCCAAAGATGGCATCTTGTTTTAATTTGTACTTTTTGATTTTTTTAAAAAAGTGGAATATTTTTAAATGTGTGTGTTGGCCATTGTCTTCTTTTTTTAATCCACAACCTTTGCCCATTTTTCATGTGAGGGATTATCTTTTAACTGCTTTTCCTCATAAGCTCAGCTGTACCATTCGATTTGTTACATGTAAATATGTTAAAACTTCATTTAAGTATAATGCTCATTTTTGTTTTCAATATATTATGGTCTGTCAATTTTTGTCTTGTTTACTACTTTTGGTGATATGTTTTGAAAGTGTCCCCCACTCCAAGATTTTATAAATATTCACATTTTCTTGTAATAATTGTGATCTAATTTTTAAAAATATTTAACTATTTAACCCATGTGGAATATATTTTCATGTTGGTGCAAAGTAGGGATATAACCTTATGTTTTGTTTTCCTCAAATGATTGGCCAGCCAGCCAAAAGAGATGGCTAGTCTTCATATGAGAGATAACTGTTTATTAATTTACTTTTACAATTCAGTAATACAATGAAATGAGTATATATCTCATGTGTTTCATTAGAATAGAGTACTTAAATCATTTTTTTTCCTTTAGGTGGATTTATTTTTTATGGAAATAGTGTTTCTCATTCCTAAACAATGTAAGACTAGCAATCTGGAGATCACCCTTAACATATGTCACTATCTAAAGGTACTGTTTTCACCACCTTCTTAATTAAAATATTTTTTGCTTCATAGATTTTCAAGCTTTAACTCTTCTATCTATCTATGAATCATTTACTATTCATTTTTAAAGGTTAAAAAGGCAATCTGTCTTTGGAACAGATATCCTGATTTTAATGTAAGTATTTTATCTTCATCTGTTTTCGTTATATAATGATTAAGCATGGAATATTGCATTTCTTGATTACTTGTTCAAATACATGCATTAATTTTTATTGTCATAATTTAATCATGAAAATTAGGGGTAATGTAGATATTATGAATTTGTATTTTATTATAAGATTTAAACTGTTTTTTCTATTTATAATAAATGATGAGTTTAAAAGAAGTTGGTTAGCTGTGCTTTTTTCCTATTTGAAATGTTTTACTTCTGAGCTCACTGTAGTAGGTTTTTAACTTTGTCAAACATTAGAATATGACTCTTACAAACATGATGCACTAAGAGATGGCTATTGGTTTTAAAAAGTTCCATTTTTCATATTCATCCCTATTCTTTAATCACTGGAACCAATACATGAAATCTTTCATTCATATAACAAATGTTTATTACACACTTATTATGTGCCAGGCACTGTTCTAGGCTCTGGGGATACAGCAGTAAATAATACAATTTTTCTCTTTTTTATTTTGTAAGAAAAAAATCCCATTTGTTTTTAAGCCAATAGATACATGTTGAGAACTACTAAGTGTTACAAGCACATAGTGGCAAAAGATTAAGCTACGAAGGTTAGCAGAGCCCAAGTCTTAGAAATATGTTAAAGAGAGTATACACTTTAGCCTCATCGCAAATAGGAAGTCATTGAAAATTTCAAGCAAGATTTGCCTTTTGAATGGATCATCTCAGCTAAAGGTAAAGTATGGATGGGAGAATAACAAGTCCGGCAGCAAAGAAATTGGTTAGAAGACTATTTCACAGCTCGGTGTGGTGGCTCATGCCTGTAATCCCAGCACTTTGGGAGGCTGAGGTGGGTGGATCACTTGAGGTCAGGAGTTCGAGAGCAGCCTGGCCAACATGGTGAAACCCTGTCTCTACTAAAAATATGAAAACTAGCTGGGCGTGGCGGCAGGCACCTATAATCCCAGCTACTTGGGAGGCTGAGGCAGAAGAATCACTTGAACCTGGGAGGTGGAGGTTGCAGTGATTCATGCCATTTCACTCCAGCCTGGGTGACAGGAGCGAAACTCCATCTCAAAAAAAAAAGACGATTTCAGTAATCTTCAACAAGAGGTGACAGTGATGGCAAATACAGTGGCGGCAGTAGAGATCAGAAGGAAGAAGAGAACAAACCAAAAGTAGACTGTAAACTCCACTGTATTTGATGGTTAGGTGTGTATTGGGTTCAAGGAGTCAAGAAGGCAATGAAATGATGGAAATGCCATTGACAGAGCTAGGGAACACCAGAAAAGCGGCAGTTCAATTTGCAACTCTTTTTTTTTTTTTTTTTTTTTTTTTTTCGAGATGGAGTCTCATTCTGTCACCCAGGCTGGAGTGCAGTGGCTCTATCTTGGCTCACTGCGACCTCCACCTCCCGGGTTCAAGTGATTCTCCTGCCTCAGCCTCCCAAGTAGCTGGGATTACAGGCACGCACCACCACACCCAGCCAATTTTTGTATTTTCAGTAGAGACAAGGTTTCACCATGTTGGCCAGGCTGGTCTTGAACTCCTGACCTCAGGTGATCCGCCCGCCTCGGTCTCCCAAAGTGCTGGCATTACAGGTGTGAGCCACCAGGCCAGCCTCAATTTGGAACTCTTGAGTTTGAATACCTGAGAGACGTACAAGTGGAGATGGCAAGTAGGCAGTTGTATGTACAGATCTGGAACTTAGGAGAAATTAGTTGGAGATGCCATCTGCGAGCTGATGCACCCCAAATACATAATTGAACCCATGGAAGTGCATATTGTCCAGCAAAAATAGAGAAAAATGAAAAGGGAAGGTGTCCTAGGATAAAGATCTCAGAAACACCGGCATTTAAGTTAAAAAAAAAAGAAAAAAGTACAGGAAGAGGAAACAAAGGAGCTTCAGAAAATTAGAAGGAAAACCGTAAGAGTTTGGTATTAGAGAAAAGGAAGAGAATGTGTCAAGAAGAGGGGGATGTCCATAATATGAGATGTTGCTGAAAGATAAATGATGTAGAATGAGGACTGAAAAATATCCATGGGTTCTAGTAGAAAAGCAGTCCCCAACCTTTTTGGCACCAGGGACTGGTTTCGTGGAAGACCATTTTTCCATGGACCAGAGGTTGGGGATGGTTTCAGGATGAATTCAAGCGCATTGCATTTATTGTGTGCTTTATTTCTATTATTATGGCATTATAATATATAATGAAATAATTATACAACTCACCATAATGTAGAATCAGTGGGAGTCCTGAGCTTGTTTTCCTGCAACTAGACGGCCCCCCATCCAGGGGTGGTGGGAGACAGTGACAGATAATCAGGCATTAGATGCTCATAAGGAGCTTACAACCTAGGCCCCTTGCATGCACAGTTTACAATAGTGTTCTCATTCCTATGAGAATCTAATGCTGCCACTGACCTGATAGCGGGCAGAGCTCAGGTGGTAATGCAGAGCTCAGGGGGTAATGCAAGCAGTGAGAAGCAGCTGTAAACACAGATGAGGCTTCTCTGGCTCACCTGTCGCTCACCTCCTGCTGTGCAGCCCAGTTCCTAACAGGCCATAGACCCGTACCAGTCTGTGGCCTGGGGGTTGGGGACCCCTATAGTAGAAGAGTTCATAAATGATCTTATGAGAGCAACTCTAGTGTGGCAGGAGAAGTTGAGCCAGGTTGGAGTGGATGGTGGAGTGGGTGGGGTGTGTGCGGGTAGAGACTGCAAATACAGAAAATGCCATCGAGAAGTTCAATGTGGAAGGGGAGGAGAGAAAAACTGTGGGACCTAGTGAACGATGTAGGAGAAAGTTGTGATCATTGTTTTAGCAATAGGAGAATCGTGTGCATGTTTTCGGTGCTAATGGAAAGGACCCAAGATAAAATAATTGAAGGAAGAGATGAGAACCAGGGCACGATAGAGCCTTCATTAAGAGGGATGCTTTCTAAGAGGAGGAAAAATGGATGCAAGCATAGTTGTCTGTGGTTTTGATAGAGAACCTCATGTGGCTCTCCATCAAACATCACTTGAGTCGTAAGTGTCTAGAACACTATTTTGCACCTTAGAAATCTTTGCTGAGTAAGACAGATTCTTCGCATAGCTGCAAGAAGCTTAGCCAACCCCATTTCTAGATTAAAACACCAGCAAAGAGGTACTTGAGGAATAGGCACAGGGTGCTCAGCTCTGGGCTAATAGCATTGAATGTCCTGATTTTGAGAATGTTCTGTGCTTAACTTCTCAGGCAACACAGGCTGAAGTATAAGAGTTGAAGGGATTTAGAATAAGTCATTGTTTCATTAAAAATTATTTTTGGCTGAAGGAGAAATAAGATTTGGATGGGGACACAGCTAAACCATATCATATACCATCTTAATTGGGATGGCTTTTTTTTTTTTTTTTTTTTTTTTTTTTTTTTTGAGACAGTCTCACTCTGTAACCCAGGCTGGAGTGCAATGGCATGATCTTGGCTCACTGCAACCTTCACTTCCCGGGTTCAAGTGATTCTCCTGCCTCAGCCTCCTGTGTAGCTGGGATTACAGGTGCACTCCAACATGCCCAGCTCATTTCTGTATTTTTACTAGAGCCCAGGTTTCACCATTTTGGCCAGGCTGGTCTCGAACTCCTGGCCTCAAGCGATCTACCCGCCTCGTCCTCCCAAAGTTCTGGGATTACAGGTGTGAACGTGCCCATCCAAGTTCCTGAAATCTCTTTATCTGTCTAAAAGCAGAATCTACCCAAAACCAAAACAAAACAAAACCCTCAATTGCCATAAATCCCCTCCCTGAGAGCAACATAGATGGAGATGAGAAGTTGGCACCACACCCAAACAGACATTGTCACCAAACTCATATCTCCCATCTATTCTCCTAAGGGTTCATTTATCTTTCAAAAAAAATCATTTTTTTCCATAAGTGCCCTTCCCCAAACCCCTTCTCAGAAGTTATTAGTTCTCCTAGAAGTGTCCTCTGACCCTCCCCATCCCCAATTAAGATGGTATGTGATATGGTTTAGCTGTGTCCCCACCAAAATCTCATCTTGAATTCTAGCTCCCATAATTCCCAAGTGTCATGGGAGGGACCCAGGGGGAGGTAATTGAATCATGGGGGCGGGTCTTTCTCATGCTAGTCTCGTGATAGTGAATAAGTCTCATGAGATCTGACGGTTTTATAAAGGGGGCTTCTCCTGTACATGCTCTCTTGCCTGCCACCATGTAAGACATGCCTTTGCTCTTCCTTCACATTCTGTCATGATTGTGAGGCCTTCCCCAGCCATGTGGAACTGTGAATTCATTAAACCTCTTTCCTTTATAAATTACCCAGTCTCAGGTATGTCTTTATTAGCAGCATGAGAATGGACTAATACAGTATGTAAGCCCCAAATTCTAACTACCTCCTTGAGTCACATTTCCTTGTGAATTTCCATGCCAACCAACATAATTAAATGTTGCTTTTGCTTGTGAATCTGTCTTCTATCAGTTTAATTTACAGCGCTCCAAGAAAAGAACCAAAGAGGGCAGAGGAACAGTTTTTCCTCTCTGACAGAATAAAAGGGCATGGTGTTTGAAGCTTACTTCCAAATGGTTCTGAGAGAATGAGATAATAGAGCAAATGTAGCAAAACATTAACAATTGTTGAATCTGGGTGAAGGATTTGAGGGAGTTTTTTGTACTCTTCTTGAAACTTGTTTTTGAAATTATTTCAAAATAAAATTATTTTTAAAAGAACAAGGTTCTGCACTTACTCATCACCTCTGCTTTTTTTTTTTTTTACTCTATTTCCACTTTCAACACTTTTTTACTCACAACTTCCTATGAGTGAAAAGGATGATGAATTTGAAAGACAGAGCTGCCTTTTGTGTTTGTGCAAAATCTCTGTATCTTAATTTGTATATCTGTAAAATGAGGATAGTATCTTCAAACATTTGCTACATGAACTGAGATGAGGATACAGTAGGCCCTCAATAAATGTTATTGCCTACCCTTCTAAGACCAGTTCAAGTCCTGTTTCCTTTATGAAGTCTTCCCTCATCACACCCATGATAAAAACTTATTTTTTATCATACCATATATTTAGCTAAACGGCTTTCTCATACATTACCTCGTTGAATTATCCCAATAACCTTACAAGTTAGGTTATCATTTTCTCTGCATCACAGATAAGGACATTTAATGAAGTTAAAAGATTTGGCTAAAATCACACAGTCAGTCAATAGAAATAACAGAATAAAAACTCAGGTTCTTTTAGCCCCAAGTTGTTTCCTTTATGTTATACCACAATTTGATATTTCTCCTTCTCAAGTGTTTTAAGTGTGGTAAGAATATATGTAACATAAAATGTACTATATTAACAATTTTTAAATGTGCTGTTTAGTGGTATTAAGTACATTCACATTGTTATGCAACCATTCCCACTATCCATCACTAGAACTTTTTCATCTTGCAAAAACTGAAATTCTGTATCATTTCAACACTAACTCCCCACTCCTCCCTTCCCCCTAGCCCCTGGTAACCACTATTCTACTTTCTGTCTCTATGAATTTGACTGCTGTAGATATAAGTGGAATCAGGCCAGGCGTGGTGGCTCACACCTGTAATCGCAGCACTCTGGGAGGCCAAGGCAGGAGGATTGCTTGAGCTCAGGAGTTTGAGACCAGGCTGGGCAACACAGTGAGACCTGTTGTCTACAAAAAAAATTTTAAAAATTACCTGGGAGTGGTGGTGCATACCTGTAGTCCCAGCTACTTGGGAGGCTAAGGCAGGAGCACCGTTTGAGCCCAGGAGGTCGAGGCTGCAGTGAGCTGTGATGGCGCCACTGCACTCCATTCTGGGCGACAGAGCAAGACCCTGCCTCAAAATAAAATAAAATAGGCCAGGTGCGGTGGCTCACGCCTATGATCCCAGCACTTTGGGAGGCTGAGGTGGGTGGATCACCTGAGGTCAGATGTTTGACCAACGTGGTGAAACCCCATCTCTATTAAAAATACAAAAAAAAAATTATCTGGGCGTGGTGGTGGGAGCCTGTAGTCCCAGCTATTCGGGAGGATGAGGCAGGAGAATCGCTTAAACCTAGGAGGTCCAGGTTGAAGTGAGCGGAAATCAGGCTACAGCACTCCAGCCTGGGCAACAAGAGCAAAACTCCATCTTAAAAAATAAATAAATAAAATAAAAATTTTAAACTAAAAAATAATTATACAAGAAGGGATTCATACAGTATTTGTCCTTTTGTGATTGGCTTATTTCACATAGCATGATGTCCTCAGGGTTCATTTATGTTGTAGCATGTGTCTTAAGTTTTATAAACACGTGTGCTCATGGCACTCATGTACAACTTCATGTGTCCTTATTTCCTTTCCTGGCTTATAAACTCCTTGAGGACTGAAATCCCATGTTTTCTCTGGGTATTGCCACCCTCACAGTGCCTCGTTCATAACAGTGGCCAATGAGATCTCTTGAATGGATAGATACAGGCCACTTTAAAGTAGAAAACGATCCCCCTCCTATATTTGTATACTCCAGTTTATCACTGCTCTCAGCTATTGGAGACGAGGAGCTGGACAAGCATAATTGTTCTGTCTGCTATTGAAAAGGGAGCCAGACAAATTAAGAAGAGTCCCCAGCTTGGAAGTATGGCAGGCAGGTGAACTTTAGTCAAGTATAATTAGCTCCCTGCCCAGTGTAAAAACATATATGCAGTATTCTTCAAAGAGGAAAAAATATAATCTTTTAGTCATATGAAGTGAGAGAGAGTTTGGTCATGGCTTTCTTTTCCTCCTCTGAGAAAAAGAAAAGAGGTCTGTCAAGACTGAACTTTGCAGGAGAGGAATCATCAATCTTTGGTGTCATCTGAGTGCATTGGAAATGCATTTGCCTTGTCTTGTGGTTTGATTGCTGTCTAATCCCTGTAAACATTAAAGGATAAAAACAGGAGAAATGGAACAAGAAATATGTGGGATCCAGGTTTTAGCTGTGCTGCCCACTGGTGACTTTCGAGGTGAAGCTTTCAGGTCCCTTCTCCCTAGCATGCCCGTGCCTCCGCCTCTATGAAGCAATAGAGCTTCAAGGGCAAATCTGGCCTCAGAGCCCAGAGGGGAATATGGCCATGTCAGGGGCCACCCCGGGAAACTCAAAGGCCTGCATCTCTTTGTCTTGCAGGAGTTGCTGCTGGACCACATGACACCAGTCCCATTCTTGAAGCAGAATGTTCAGAGTGTGTCCAAAATGCAGAAGCCACCCATTTCCAAGAAAAACAGCTATGCTTCAACCAGCCTAAGTCTATTGCAAGTAAGGGCACCCATGAGAGATGGACCTTGAGGGATTCAACCTAACTAACTGTGAGTAAGGACGTCTAGCACATTTTGGAGAGTACTGGTATGAAACAGATTCCAAATAAAATAACAGGAGGCAGGCTGGATGCAGTGGCTCATGCCTGTAATCCCAGCTCTTAGGGAGGCAGAGGCAGGAGGATAGCTTGAGCCCAGGAGTTCGAGACCTGCCTGGGCAATGTAGCAAGACCCCATTCTCTACAAAAAGGAAAAAAAAAATAAAAAACAAGAAATAACTGGAGGCAACCTGTAACAAACTAAATTATTTCCCATTAGCACATAAACACCATTAGCACATCTTTTTGAATACACAAGGTCTGTGGAGATAACACTACACACAGGATCTCAAAGAATCTCCCTTACTAAGGGGGAAATCAAGTTGGCTTTTTTTGTTTGCTTGTTTTTTGTTTTTTGTTTTTGAGACGGAGTCTGGCTCTGTCACCCAGGCTGGAGTGCAGTGGCCGGATCTCAGCTCACTGCAAGCTCCACCTCCCGGGTTTATGCCATTCTTCTGCCTCAGCCTCCCGAGTAGCTGGGACTACAGGCGCCCGCCACCTCGCCCGGCTAGTTTTTTGTATTCTTTAGTAGAGATGGTGTTTCACCATGTTAGCCAGGATGGTCTCGATCTCCTGACCTTGTGATCTGCCCGTCTCGGCCTCCCAAAGTGCTGGGATTACAGGCTTGAGCCACCGCGCCCGGCCTCAAGTTGGCTTTTATCCTAGCAGCTTACTTAAGCCCTAACCTACTTACAATTGTTTTACATAGTATATAATATTTCCCATACTTGATTGTGTTTCTTAAGTTTCATTTTTAATTTTCAAATCAAAACAGGAAATATAAGCTGGGCACAGTGGCCCACGCTCTCAGCACTTTGGGAGGATAGCTTGAGGCCAAGAGTTCAAGACCAGTCTGGGCAACATAGCAAGACTCTGCCTCTACAAATTTTTTTTTTAATTAGCCAAGCATGGTGGCATGCATCTGTAGTCCCAGCTACTCAGGAGGCTGAGGCAGTATTGCCTGAGCCCTGGAGTTCGATACTGCAGTGAGCTAGAATCACACCAATATACTCCAGCCTGAGTGAAAGAGGAGGATCCTGTCTCAAAAAACTGTCAAAAAAAAAAAAAAAAACACCAGAAAATATAGAGAAGAGGTAGCTATTTCGAATGCTTGTAGAACTATTATAATATTACTGTTTTTAGACTAAGGAACATTCTCCAAAAATATGATTTTGCACACACTTTTGATTGCCTACCCAAAAGCCATTTCTCTCTCTCTTTCCTTCTGGCAGAGCCTGCTTCCCATAAGAAGGGCTAAAAATGCCAGACACTCTCTTTCAACCTCCTTTGCATATAGGACTGGCCACATGACCCATCTGGTCAAATTAACCTTTCAGCCACACTCTTCCGAAAGGCTTTTAGAAAGATTTTTCATGGTAATGAAAACAAGAGATATTCAAGGAGAGCTTTTTTTCCCCACCTCTTCCTTCCTGACATTTCATAGGCATTTCATTTCATGGGAGCTATGGAAGCTATATTGCAGCCATTAAGCAGTAGACAAAGCAAACGTGCTGAGGATGTCAACAAACAGGGATGGAAAGAACCTGGATCACTGACGATGACACTGTTTAGCTTGGGACCATCCCCTTCTGTATTAGTCAGGGTTCTCTAGAGGGAGAGAACTAATAGGATGGATAGATAGATAGATAGATAGATAGATAGATAGATAGATAGAGATATATATAGATATATACACACACATATATGGGAGTTTATTAAGTATTAACTCAAGCAATCAAGAGGTCCCATAATAGGCAGTCTACAATCTGAGGAGCAAGGAGAGCCAGTCTGAGTCCCAAAACTGAAGAACTTGGAGTCCAATGTTTGAGGGCAGGAAGCATCCAACACCGGAGAAGGATGTAGGCTGGGAGGCTAGGCAAGTCTAGTCTTTTCACATTTTTCTGCCTGCTTTACATTCTACCCATGCTGGCAGCTGATTAGATGGTGCCCACCCAGATTAAGGGTGGATCTGCCTTTCCCAGTCCACTGACTCAAATGTTAATCTCCTTTGGCAACACCCTCACAGACACACTCAGGATCAATACTTGGCATCCTTCAATTCAATCAAGTTGACACTCAGTATTAACCATCACACTTTCTAAACATCTTATTAGGTAAAATGATACAACTTCCTGTTAGATATGCGACTTTCTTCGAAACAGGGTCTCACTGTGTTGCCCAGGCTACAGTGCAATGGCGTGATCACGGCTCACTGCAGCGTCAAACTCCCGGGCTCAAAGTGATCCTCCCACGTCAGCCTCCTGAGTAGCTGGGACCACAGATGTGTGTGTGTGTGTGTTTTTTTTTTTTTTTTTTTTTTTTTAAGAGAGACAGGGTCTTGCTATGTTGCCCAGACTGGTCTCGAACTCCTGGGCTCAAGTGATCTTCCTGCCTCAGCCTCCCAAACTCCTGGGATTATAGGTGTGAGCCATTGTGCCTGGCCAGATGTAACACTTTTAGCTGGATATTGTTATTCACAACTGAAAGCTTCTTAACTTGTTCAATGCGATTTTAAATACAGTCCAGGAGGAACCTATTTTACACCAAATATTGACTAACTTTCTCTCAGATATTGGAAGGGCATGTTCCTAAGCATAAGCATATGAGAAAATCCTTGTAATGATGATATAAAGGGAGTTTGCCAGTTTAAACACCTGCGGGTTGCCCTGGTAAATGTCAGGTATCACAGGGTCAGAAAGATTAGTTCATAATGTACTAGGAAAAACATCCTGCAATATGTATGAAAATATACATTGTAAAAAATATTTTTAGGCCGGGCGCGGTGGCTCAAGCCTGTAATCCCAGCACTTTGGGAGGCCGAGACAGGCGGATCACGAGGTCAGGAGATCGAGACCACCCTGGCTAACACGGTGAAACCCCGTCTCTACTAAAAAATACAAAAAACTAGCTGGGCGAGGTGGCGGGCGCCTGTAGTCCCAGCTACTCGGTAGGCTGAGGCAGGAGAATGGCGTAAACTCGGGAGGCGGAGCTTGCAGTGAGCTGAGATCCGGCCACTGCACTCCAGCCCGGGCGACAGAGCGAGACTCCGTCTCAAAAAAAAAATATATATATATATATATTTTTGGCTAAGTGTATTGGCACAATTATTAGAATACAATCTAGAAACATTTGCTTTAAATTTTAAGAGCAATGACAAGACTGCTGATCTTAATTAGTCAAAGTTTTTCTTAAGGATTTCAATTCAAATGTGTCCTTTATTCTGATTGTGATGGGACTTTTGAGTTGTCCTATTTGAAATGCCAAGTAAATTTTCCAGATGGAAAGAATTCACAAAGTAGCTTTGAAATAGTTTATGTGATGCCTTAGAAAACCCAGACATTTGACCTTATATTTTACCTGATAAATAGAAAAAGCCACTTGCTGATAAAATTTTGTTATTCACAGGTGATTACATGAGTGAATTCATTTTTCTACCTGCTATTTTGCTAGAAAACTATCTTCATTAAAATTTTAGATTCCTATAATTTATATGGAGCTCACACATTCGATTTACAGATTTGGAATACTTATCAATTGATGTCCATTTTATTTTTTCTTTTAGTTGCTGAGATGAGACATCCATTTTTCTCAAAATGTATCAGGTCAAGCTAAAAAAAGAAGTGAAATTAATATGAAAATATCTGTTAAAGGACATCAGTGTCCAAGCTCACCATCCTTTCTATCTGTCATTCATCTGCACATAGTCAGGGCTTATACAATAGAATTAAATATACCATCCCAGAGGACACCTGGCAGTGTCTGGAGACATTTTTGGTTGTCACAACACGGGGGCATGGTGCCACTGGCATCCTTGGTAGAGGACAAGGATGCTGCCACACATCCCACAGGGCAATCCCCACAGCAAAGAATGCTCCAGCCCAAAATGTCAATAGTGCCGGGGTTGAGAAACCCTGTTCTACACCAAGCACCTTGACGTCTAAAATACAACACAAACTGGTTCTTTGTTCATTAGAATTCCTACAGAGGAAAGAATAGATTGCTATCATTTTACAGTCATCTCAACAATTGAAGTCAGGAGAAGCCTTGATTCTTATAAACCGTAAAACATTAGTTTGAAGTCTAGTTTGTGGGTATCATTTGTTTTCTATGAGAAATTCCTTCTTTTGATGTTATATTTTCTTTCACACAAAGACAGGACTTACATAAGCCTTCCTTTCTGCTATTCCTTTTCTTAAAAAAAAAATTGTTTTATGGCTGGGCGCAGGGGCTTATGCCTGTAATCCCAGCACTTTGGGAGGCCAAGGCAGGCGGATCCTGAGGTCAGGAGCTCGAGACCAGCCTGCCCAACATGGTGAAACCCTGTCTCTACTAAAAATACAAAAATTAGCTGGATGCAGTGGCAGGTGCCTGTTATCCCAGCTACTCAGGAGGCTGAGGCAAGAGAATCGCTTGAACCCAGGAGGCAGAGGTTGCGGTGAGCCGAGATCACGCCATTGCACTCCAGCCTGGGTGACAAGAGTGAAACTCCATCTCAAAAAAATAAATAAATAAATAGTTTTATATCTAGTGTGTCTTGAAGTGAACCTGAACCTCACTAACATTGCCAAGAGTCTTCCCCAAGATGTGGACCATAGATGTGAGTTCAATATAAATTATATGGCTATAGGAAAGTCACTTGGAGAAACTTTCATTGTGCCTCAGTATCTCCCTGAGATCCCTGCTTTGCTTGTAGACATAATGTGAAAACATTTCACTTGGAAATAAAGTCACCATCCAAATCTAAGATCTGATATAAAACAGATGATAAAGAACACTAAGTTCACATTACCCTTCCTGGTATTTTAAATGTCTTTTCTATCTTTGAAAAGCTGACCTGGAACACAGAGAAGGGAATTTTTTTTTTTTTCCTTTTAAAGATCCCTATGGAGGATTGTTCTGGAAT